TCAAGAATATTCGTGATACGATGTGTGTAGGGGGTGGGGGTGAGGTGGGTCACGGAAGCTTAAGCGCTTGCACATCATCGTTGGAGTTGGAAGGGTTCAAATCTACCCTAATGAATGCTTGCCCTCAGCTACCAGCTAAATACTAATGAACTAGTGACTACAGAATACACCAGACGATTACGAGAACTTCTGAAAAATGCATATGTTATTCCGTATAATCCGGATAAGGGGATGGCGATCGTGCTGCTAGATGGAATGGACTACATAGACACTATGAATACGATACTGAGTGGTCGGTCGANTAAAATGGGCACTCTAAGATTTTGCGATGCTTAAATCAGAGAGGAGTCATTGATGTGTCCATTTTCGAACGTTTCAGGCCAACCGCGATTGTTATTCCGAGGTTGTATAGATTGTAAAATGTACGGAAAGATGGAGTACCATTACGGCCTATTTTGTATACATGCAACCTGCAATATCATACCCTGGAAAAATGGTTGGCCAAATTATTAGAAACCGTCTGAGTTGGGTTGACAAAACAATGTGAAAGATACATGTGCCTTTGTTAACAAATTCTTGGCATAAACATGGTTGATCAGACAATACTCTCGATGGACATCAGTTCGTTCTTCACAAATGTTCACATCAGCAAAACGATGGGATACCTGCGCAGTTATGTACAAACTAATAAAGTAGGGCTCGGTCTCCTTTTGAATGGCCTAAAACAACTGCTTTATTTCTGCATATATATATTGTTCAGTTCAAGTTAAACGATGAGATCTATCGATAAAAGGATGGCGTGGCTATGGGATATCCGTTGAGGCCGCTTTTCACGGAATTATTAATGAAGGAACTTGAAAACACTCTATTGCAATCATCCATTGAAGACTGTACCATACACGCGGTACGGAGACGATATTTATTGTGTGATCAACGCAACATCAAACACAAGGGAATTATTAGTCGGGTTCAACACTGCGCATCCCAACGTAACACAAATTTGTAAATGAAGTGTAACAACAAATTGCCGTTTCTATATGTCTGTATCACCCGTCAGCACATCGTTCGGAATAGCGTTCCGCGCATAGAAAGGCAACATGGAAAGACCAGTGCTTCCATTTCCGAAGCTTTGTGCCGCTTAACGTGAAAATGAACCTAGTTCATTGTCTAGCAGGCAGGCCAAGAAAGATCTGCACTAGGACACACTAGAAGGTGAGCTCGTGTTATAAAATTGATCTTTGCACGTAACGGGTATCCGGAACGTTTGGTCAACAAAATGATTCAGTGCACGAAGAACTCTATAAAAAAAACACCGCGGTTAAGAAAAAAAATCCATGTACTTTTCTTTGCGGTTTAAAGGCTACACTTCAGCTGAGATCATAAGAAGAATATTATCCGACACAATCGTTAAGACCTTCTATGCATCAAACCTTCGTGTGTTTTTTACCTCTCAACCAATTCATCTTCATCCGAGTCATCATGATCATGATCAACGAATAGCGACATAAAGTGAAGCGATTTTCGCTGATTTCTGCCAAGCTCACAGTGTACACAAATCTAGTGATTAAATACTAGATGGAAAGGGATTAGACCTAATGGGAGGGCGGAAAGGAAAGCAAATCTATATGGTCAACACATGGACCACACGATCTAACCGAGCGTATATAGTTTCAAGCATTCTGACCTGATAAGAAATAAGAGCAAGAACGCCACTGATGTCGCTTAGTTGTCATATCCTTCATGGTCTCCAACCATCCAATCGCAGGGACTTTTGGACCCAAACTTGGAAGATGGGCGACACCTATTGCACCTGATGGCTCTGCGCATTTCTTTGTGCCCGGTTTCCAAGNAAGGCAAGGTGCGGTAGTCGATGGTTGGGTATGCGCAATGCGTGTCTCCCAACTAACGAAGCCGACTAATCTGAATTCGATGGGACAACAAATTTTCCACCGAATCATTAACAAATACTCAAAGCCTTACCTCAGGGTAGGGTTATAAGCTGGCTCCATCTAGCCCACACTAAACAACGTAAATATCGACAGATGAAGACCTATAGACGACGAATATCTTCCACGCGCAAATTTAGGGTCTCGTAATCGTAACGCAGAACCGCCTGCACACTGACGCAGTATAAACGACATTTTAGTTTCAATGGAATCTGGCGTCTGCACCAAAGATGCTTCAGTCCTGCGTAAGCTTCTCGTGCCTTGGAAATGCGGACGGTTACTTCCTGTATTATGCTACAGTCATTTGTTACGCAGCTACCTAAGCAGGATAATCATTTCAATATAGCTAATTTTTGATCATCAAGAATCAGCGCTGAAGTAAATGATACCTAATCTTGTAGTATCACGTATTTTGAAGGTGAAAAGAGCATACCAAATGAAGTTGCAGAAGTTGAAAGGCTGTCAAGAGTGATTTGTGCATCCGCCATACATTGGAACAGACAACCACACAGATTTTCTCCAGCTGCCCATTCAATACTTACGTTCTGGAGACCAGTAGTTGCGTTCTCCAGTACTTCGTCCATGACGAAATTGAACACTAATGGCGAAATAGGGCATCCTTGAAGAACACCGCTTCTGGTTTCGAACGATTTGTTTAGCCCACCGTAGACCTTTACGCTACCAGAAGTATGCAGGTACAGTGACCGCAATAGGTTAAATACTGCCGCGGAATTTCCATGCGAATCAGCGACTCCATAAGAGCTTCGCGGACAACTGAATCTAATACTCCTCTAAGGTCAAGGAACACTACGATTGTTGACCAACGATGTGTGTGTGACGTGATTCGAGGACTTAACGTAGAGTGAAGATTTGGTCAACGCAACCGCGACCTAATCGGTATCCGGCTTGCTGTTCGCGGATTTTCATCTCCCTTAAGGGTGTCGGGCGGCGAAGTATCACAGACTTTAAAGCCTTTGTGATGATCGGAACTAAAATAACCGCTGTGGTTTGCGCAGTCGTTGTGTGATTCCTTCTTGAAGATCGGAAAGATCAACCGTTCATCCCAGGACAAAGAGACACGCTCCTCCGACCAGGTGCGCTGAAGTAAGCAAGCAATCGAGTCTACGAGAAAGTTAGTACCTAGCTTCGAAAGAATGGAGAGAAGCCCATCAGGTCCCGCAGCCTTTCTTGCCTTTAAAGAGTGCATACGGGTTCGTATTTCTAATTGTGTTCGAGGCTCACATGTTATCACCTATGGAGTTTACACTGCAATCGCCCGAGTAACCGCATTAGCACTAGGCCAATTGAACTGTTCATCAAAATACTCTGCCCAGCGACCAAGTAATCAAATCGTTCTTTGTTGTGGATACTCTGTCCACTTTTATTGCAAACGGTCTCACTGACCGGTATGCGACGACCTGTAGTGCTGCGTACCAGGTGAAACAGTATTTGACTATTCCCTGATGCAGAAGCTACCTCCATTTCACTAACTGTTTTGGCCCATCAATTTCCGCGATCTTTCTAAAAGCTTTTCCTGAGATCACGTTGTAGATGCCATCGGTCCCTATGCTGATTCTGGCAGATTGGGAACGTTCGCTTTTGATCCATCAGGGGTACTGGCTCCTGAGAGATCCAATATCTTCAGTGAACTTCGAGCTCGGTCCACAAAGCTGAGTTCATCACAAATCCAATTTAATATCACAGTTGGTCTGCTCTAGCATGTCGCGGTTTTCCTAATTTCTCTCCCATCTTCTCCTCATAACGTGCGCAGACAAATGGATCGCGCAGACGGTGATGAGCTAATTGAGGAGGCGATTTCTGCCGATAACCAATGAGTCGAACAGTGGAGCGTAACAGAACTAATGCATAGTCCAACTCAACGAAGGTGGTTCAGTAGCATCTGCAAATTTGTATTGAGAACAAAGCCAATGGTAGCTTACAGAAAGGTGATCAATTTTGGTCAACTATACCATTGAACTAGAACACCATGTGGCCGTTCGACGAGAGCTGTTTTGAAAGTTGGTGCTAGAAAAGAAAAACTTATGATCCGCACAGAACTGAAGTAGTCGATCACTGTTGTCTGTTCACTGGGCGGGGAGGGCGAAGTATCCACCTAGACAGGTTCGGATGCGCTAAGTTTTCCAACCTGTGCGTTAAAATCACCTGCCAGCACCGTAATATCAGAGCTGCGGCTCAACCGAATCAGTTCGGCGAGTTTGTCGTAAATGCATCCTTTTGTGCAGTGGAACTACAGTTGGTTGGTGCATATGCGGAAATGATGAACAAACACCTTTTGGTGTTGCTACCCTTCCGAACACTAACTGAACCCTGTAGCCTCATCGCGCACAAGCGACTATTGACGGGTATCCAGTCTATCATCGAGGCTTTAGTTTTGTCGTTTAGTGTGACTCCTTCACCACGCTGACCCAGTTGGTGGGCTTAATCGTCTTCTGATATACGAAGGAAATACCTCAAGGACAGACACGGCGCATGAATGGCTAATAAAACTAGTGCTATATTCCCAAAAGACGGTGCTGGTCGAGGAGAGTCGTTTATTGTAGAATACAAATTGAGGGTCACTAATTTTGCATGCATAACACGAAAACCTTATCAGAAACATGCCATCGCAACACATCGCGACACATAGAGTAATATGTAGAGCAGGCAGTGTTTATTCTTCCCAAACGTGTTACTTGATCATTGATGGTCTTGTTCTATTTTTAATCGCCGAAAGTTACCGACTACTCACAAGTGAGTAGCATCTCACAACACTTCTCCCCTGGCGGAAGAGATCTCTGCATGCCTTGATCAATTGACGACTGCTTCTTGGATTGTGCTCGCGTTTGTATCTGATTTTCGACATTTGGCGGTGTCCTGTCTGACATTGTGTTATTGGATTCTGGGATTTCGTTTGTTGGTTTATTGCATGTGCTGTACCTTTGCCCGTCCCATGTTGCGAGATTGTTCGGATGTACACGACGGACTTCGTTCATCCGCTGAATTTTTTACACGGGATGGCGTTCTTCGACTATGCGGTATGGACCTCTCCATTTGGGAATTAACTTCCTCGAGGCAGGGCCGCTCGCGAATCCCCCAACATGCTGCTCATATTTTACGTTAGATCCAACCGTCTAGTTTTTATCCTCTACTTGTGCATTATATCCTCCTGCGCCGTCTTCAGGTTATGCCGGGCTTCGCGTCTTGTCTGTTGAAGTTGTTGTGGAGATGAACCGTTTCGCGGCCAAATGCAAACTTCGAGATCAACTGGCAGCTTCGAAATTCTCCCGTACATCATTTGAAATGGTGTGTATTTGGTACTGGCGTGCGTGGTCGAGCGGTAAGCCAAAGGGAAGGTAGGGCTGACTCCCAATCCCCTCCTTTCGCTGCCAGCCATTCTTTGATTGTTCTGTTATTGCGTTCCGTGAGGCCGTTGGTTTGTGGGTGATAGGGCGTTGTGCGTATCTTTTTGATGCCTAATTTCTGTAAGCACGTGCGAAATTCATCACTCTCAAAGCACGGGCCTTGATCTGTCAGGATGGCTTGTGGTACACCATGATTCGCCACAATATGCTCCATCACAACTCTGCTTATCGTGGCGGCCTTTTGATCTGCGACTCCTACGGCTTCAATCCAACGCGTGAAGTGTTCCGTCATTACAACGATGTATTGGTGTCCTCTAGGGGACATCGGAAATGGACCCATGAGGTCGACAGACCATAATTCACCGATCTCGGATACTGGTATTGACTGAATTGGACATTGTGATGGGCGGGAGTCTGACTTGAACAGTTGGCACTTCTCACACGCCAGCACCTGGTTTGTCACATCCGCCTGCATATTTGGCCAATATGCTCGCTGTCGCAGCAGATCGTAGGTTCGTGCGCATCCAGTGTGTGCTAGTTCATGACTTTCTTTGATAAGAATTTGGCACAGTTATTTCGGAATGACGACCACAGGGCACCTTCTTCCTGGCTATCGTTTCATTAGGATACCGGCGGCATTCACATAAAGCAGCTTCCATACGGATTGCCATGACTTCATGTATGTACTATGTTGAATGTTTCGGTATTGCTTGCCTTGTGAGATTGCCTCGATCACTTTGCGGAGTTCGTGATCCTTACGCTGTTCCTTCACCAATCCTCGCGGGTCTTGTCCCGCTGCCAGCATACTGACACTGAAGGAATCCGCTTCTTCCTGACGAGACAAAACATCCGCCATACAGTTTTCGGCACCTGCAACGTGATTGACCGTGAAGTTGTACTCCTGAAAGCGAAGCGCCCACCGGGCTAGTTTTCCTCTCGGGTCCTTGGCGGCTTGTGGTCTGTTTCTATATGGAACCTTTGACCCAGAAGGTATGATCGCCACTTATCTACGGCCTAAACAATAGCCAGACATTCTTTTTCCGTGATGGAATATTTCCTTTCCGTTGGCGTAAGGACTCTGCTTGCGTATTCTACTACTCCACTTGCTTGTTTGAGTACGGCTCCAACTCCCACGTCACTGGCATCCGTTACCACTGTGAAGTGCTAGCCAACCACCGGCAACTTCAGTGTCAGGTGTTGTTCAGTCATGATCCTTTGGAGTTCATCAAATGCTTTCTGGGTCTCTGGTGTCCATCTGAAACGAGATTCCTTTTTGAGTAAGGCGTACAACGGTTCGGCGATGTTCGTAAAGTTCTTAACGAACCGGCTATAGTATGCGGCACATCCCAGAAACCGTCTTAATGTTCTTTTCGATGTTGGGCGTGCAAACTCCTTTAGCTTGA